CCCCACCCCCCAAGCAGCTCAAATCACACCAAGCAACCTCTAAACCACAGCCAAAACCTGACATCAGCTCCATGTCCTGCCCCTGTATCCCTCACTCTGCAGTGGGATGGAGCTCACTGCTCCCAGGGATCCAGTGTGGTCCCTATGCAGAAGGGTGACTGGGGAGGGGAAGTGCTGATTGACCCCATTCCCAGAAGGAATGGTCAGAAATCTGCTCTTCTCTTCCCAAAAGAGGCATCTTCATCTTCCCAGCAGCGTGGTCACTGTCAGCAGAGTGGGGGGGTGATACCTTCACCTTGATACTTCACCTCAAAGTGATTCCAAAGCCAACACCTGCATCCCAGGACACAGCTGGGATGTCAAGGCCCTGGGTCCAAAGCCTCCCAGCAGGACACTGGGAATGCTTCCCCTTCCCCTTGGCTGGGAGCACGGCTTCAACACCAGTTTGCTTCCAGGCAGGAAGTGCAGCCCAAAGGCACTGGTTCCTTCTGCTCCCTTTTAGTTCTCCAAGAAACCCCCTCAGATTCCTGCTCTTCCATCCCAGAACCCCCACAAACGGGGGGGATGGGAGGAGCTCAAAAAGGCTTTTCCAACCTGGTGGATGCTGGGAGTACTGATGGAGACTGGAGAGGACTCCTCAGCCTTTCCCCCTGCATCCCCATCCCCTCTCCTGCGTCCCCATCCCCTCTCCTGCGTCCCCATCCCCTCTCTCCCATCCCCATCCCTTCTCCTGCATCCATTTGCTCTCCTGCATCCCCATACCCACTCTTGTATCCCTGTCCCCTCTCTCCCATCCCCTGTCCTGCATCCCCATTCCCTCTTCCCCATCCCCTTGATCTCTCCCCCATCCCCATCCCTTCTCTGCATCCCTTGGGATTCCAACCCCATCCCCTCCTTCATTCATCCCCTGTCCTGCATCCCCATCCCCTCTCCCCCATCCCCATCCTGTCTCCCCCATCCCCTCCTTCATCCATCCCCTGTCCTGCATCCCTATTCCCATCCCCTCTCCCCCATCCCCTTCTCCTCTCCTTCATCCCCATCCCCACTCCTGCATCCCCATCCCCTCCTTCATCCATCCCCTGTCCTGCATCCCCATGCCCATCCCTTCTCCTACATCCCCTTCCCCTCTCCTGCATCCATCCCCTCTCCCCCATCCCCATCCTGTCTCCCCCATCCCCATCCCCTCCTTCATCCATCCCCTGTCCTGAATCGCTATTCCCATCCCCTCTCCTTCATCCCCATCCCCTCTCCTGCATCCCCATCCCCTCCTTCATCCATCCCCTGTCCTGTATCTCCATCCCCATCCCCTCTCCCCCATCCCCATCCCCTCTCCCCATTCCCATCCTCTCTCCCCATCCCCATCCCCTCCTTCATCCATCCCCACTCCTGTATCCCCATCCCCATCCCCTCTCCTGCACCCCCCTCCCTTCCCATCCCCATTCCCTCCGCTCCCCCCCCCCGGTTCCCCTCCCCACGGCCCCTCCCGCCGCCGCCGCCGCTCCCCCCTCACCGGTACAGCCTCTTGGTGTGCAGCACCTTGGCCTCGGGCTCGCCGCTCTCCCCGGCCCCCCCTCCCTGGCTCATGGCTCCGGTGCAAGGCGAGGCCCGGTTCCGGCTCCCGCTCCCCTCAGCACCGGCCCCGCCGCCTCCGCCGCCGCCCCCGGCCCCGCTCGGCCGCCATGGCTGCCCCCTGCCCCGGGCCGCTCTCGCGAGAGCCGGCGAGACCTGGCGGCCGCTGCGAGGCATCATCTCGCGAGAGTTCAACCTCTCGCCGTGCCAGTACTTAGTGCTGGCAAAGATGGCGGCGGCGAGGCGTCAGCACACGCTTAGGGCGGGCGTCGCCATGGCTGCCCCACAGCGTGGGCCTTGGGATTCCCTCCTCATCCCTTGGGATTCCCTCCGCATCCCTTGGGACTTCCTCCGCGTCCTTTGGGATTCCCTCCTCATCCCTTGGGATTCCCTCCGCATCCCTTGGGATTCCCTCCGCATCCCTTGGGATTCCCTCCTCATCCCTTGGGATTCCCTCCGCATCCCTTGGGATTCCCTCCGCATCCTTTGGGATTCCCTCCTCATCCCTTGGGATTCCCTCCGCATCCCTTGCGATTCCCTCCGCATCCCTTGGGATTCCCTCCGCATCCTTTGGGATTCCCTCCTCATCCCTTGGGATTCCCTCCTTATCCCTTGGGACTCCCTCCTCATCCCTTGGGACTCCCTCCTCATCCCTTGGGAACGCCTCCCTGCACACACAGCGTGGGGTAAAGGGGCCGGGGGCTCCCTTTAGGGCTTCCCCATGGCGGCGGCTCCAGCCCATTCCCCCCCCCCCCCCTCAGCCTTTGGCTTCTCCTTGCCCCGCCGGCCCCGATCCCTCGGGAAGGGGCAGGGCTGAGGCTCGGCCCCTTCCAGCCCGGCCCCACCTCGCACCGGTCCGACCGGTTTGAAGGCCCGGAAGAGCCGTGGCCACGGAAGGGGGAAGCGCTCCAGAGGCTCCCATGGCCCCGCTCCGCGGCCCCAGTGAGTCCCGCAGCATTCCCGGCGGTGGGAATGGGGCTGGGAACCGGGGGTGGGGGGGGGACACACACGGGACACAACCTCTGCTCCCCCATTCCCGACGCTCTTCCCATTGGGAATGGGGCCGGGAGGCTCCGTAGCGCAGGGAACTGGGGCTGGAGAAGGGAAGGCTCCTGAAGGGGAGCCCTTGGAGCAGCCCCGGTGCCGAAAGGGGCTGCAGGAAACCTGGAGAGGGGCTTTGGGATGCAGGGATAGGACAAGGGAATGGCTTTAAGCTGCCAGAGGGGGGATGGAGATGGGATGTGGGGCAGAAGCTCTTCCCTGGGAGGGTTTGGGGACATTGGGATGGGTTGAATGGAGAAGGTTCGGATGCCCCATCCCTGGCAGCGCTCAAGGCCAGGTTGGACACAGGGGCTTGGAGCACCCTGCTCCAGTGCCTATAGGGGCTGCAGGAAGCCTGGAGAGGGGCTTTGGGATGCAGGGATGGAGGAGCAGGACCCCCAAACCCCCCCATTCCCACTGCTTTGTGCCCAGGGTGAAGAGGAAGGAACCGGAGCCGCGTTTCCCCCCCTCCACACCCCATCCATGCCCGCTGCGGACCCCATCCTGCCCCCGGAGGAGGTGGCATTGATGGAGCTGGCCCCGGCCCCCCCCTTACCCAAGGCACCGGAGGACCCCGAGGCCACCCTGCCCTGGGACCGTGCCCCGGGGAGGGCCCGGGCGAGCCCGGATGGGGGCCGGGAAGGTCCAGAGGAGGCCGGCGCTGGCCCCGAGGTGGCCCCCGTGGTGGTGGTGCCCATAGACCCGCATTGCATCGAGCACAACCCCGGCAAGGGCAAGAAGCAGCAGGAAGAAAGCAAAGGGGGAGCCGTGCCCCGTAGCCAGCACCCACTCCTCCTCCTCCCTATGGGTCCTTCACGCTCCAGGGACCCATTGGGCTTGGAGGGGCGAGGGGCCAAGCCTGGCAGCGAAGGAGCCAGGTGCCCGTGGGCTAAGGACTGCGGTGGCGGGGGCCACCTCAAGGCCTTGGCCTCGGTGCTGGGGGCTCTGGTGCTGTGCCCCTGCTTTGTCTATGGGGCTTACGTCTTCCTGCCCTTCGACGCCCCGCTGCTGCCCACCATCAGCACCCGCCTGCTGTACACCCTGCGCTGCGCCGCCTTCGCCACCGTCCCCATCGTGCTGGGTGAGCAGCAAAAGGGGGCATCCCCCCCCCCCCCTTTCAACCATGGGGAGCCCCATTCCCAGCCTTTGGCTCCGGTATTCCCACAGGGATGCTCGTCAGCGGCGTCTCCCGCCTCTGCTCCTGGGCGCTGGAGCCCTGTGGGGAGCTGCGGCGGGAGGTGGAGATCCACAGCACCTTCGTGGTCCAATCCGGCCACCTCTTTGTCCTTTACTTCTTCAACATGGCCGTGCTGGCCACCTACCTCCCGCAGGAGCTCCTCAAGCTCATCCCGCTCCTCACGGGGCTCTTTGCCATCTCCAGGTAAGCAGGAATGGGGTGGTGGTGGGGGGAAAAGACCTGGAGCCATCCTTTATCCCCCTTTTCCATGCCTCCAGGTTGCTGTATTGGTTGGCTTACGCCATCGGGCGCTCCTTGAGGGTCTTTGGCTTCAGCCTGAGCTTCCTGCCCCTCGTGGCCATGCTCCTCTGGAATCTCTACAGCATGGTGGTGCTGGAGCCGGAAAACCTCCTGGCTGTGGCAGAGGCAAAGCCCCAAGAGCAGCCCAAGAACACCGGAGCCAAACTCCGGTACTGGGGATAATGGGGGAACACCCCCAAGACCCCAAAAGGAGGGATGCAGGGAGATGCCGTCCCGATTGCTCTGCCCTGGGAAAGGGGGAGCCCCATTGCCTAATAAAACTCTTTGCCCAGCGCTTCCATGGTTGCTTTGGGAAGGGTGGGATTGATCCCATAAGGAATTGTGGCTTTGCCCTGGCTTGGGGGGGGGGGGGGGGAGCAAGTCCCTCCCCAACTCCTTCCTCTTCCTCGCGGGTGGAGGTTCAGGAACTGGTTCCCAAACCAGTTGGAGCAGTGGGAAGGAGGGAGGGAGCCCTGGCCCAAGGGCAGCTCTGCTGCTTTCCCTTGTCTCCTTATGGAGACCTGGGAGCAGCTCCCGGTGCCTAAAGGAGCTCCAGGAAAGCTGGAGAGGGGCTTGGGACAAAGGGATGGAGGAGCAGGATGGGGGGGAATGGCTTTCACCTGCCAAAGGGGATGATTCCTTCTTGAGGGAAGCGATTCTGCTCCTGCTTGGAAAGGACAGGGAGAAACCTGGGGGCTCCTTTCCCAAACTCCAGCAACATTCCTTGATGTTTATGGGATTCCCCCCATCCAAAAGGCACTGGAATGCCGTGATTGGGTTTATTTCCCAAGCAAACCGTGACATTCCAGAGCCTCCCATGCCCAGTCCCTGCGCCGGGCACTGAGCCCCCTCCCACCCCAAAGCTTCAGCCGCAGCAAGCCGGGTGCTGGCTTGGTTCTTCCCATGGGATCCCTCATTCCTGGGCTGCCTCCGGTGCTGCCGGAGCCTGGCTCTTCTCATCCCCCTTCTTTTTGTGCCCGGACACGATGTCATCGATGCGAAGCAGGAGAATGGCCGTCTATGGAGAGAGAGCATTGGGAGCCAGTCCGGAATTCCAGCCCCATGGAGCAACCCCTGGAGGCCCCCAAGCCTCACCTCCACTGCTGTCTTGTAGGTCTGCAGCTTGACAGCCAGCGGCTCCCAGACCCCCAGCTCCTTCATGTCCACCAAGGCTCCGGTCTCCCCGTTCACCCCCCATGTCTGGCTGTTGTCCTGAGTGTGTTTTGCCTGTTGGGAAAGCCGGGATCACCACGTGGGATCGTCGGAGGAGGCCTTTGCGTGGCCTTTCCAGTGGTGCCAGGGAAAGCTGGACAAGGGATGGAGGAGCAGGACAAGGGGGTGGGGGAATGGCTTTGGACAAGGGATGGGCTGAGGAGGAACGGCTCCAACTAGAAGGGGAAAGGGTTAGATGGGATCTTGGGAATCTCTTCCCCATGAGGGTGGAAAGGGTTAAAGGGAGAAGCTGTGGCTGTGTTCAACAGAAGGCATCCGTGCTTCCAAGACCCGGAGGAGCTTTAAGCTCCCTTCAACCCAACCCATGCCAGGATTCCAGTTTCCATGCTTGGGAATCCATCCGAGGACATTTCACAGCCGAAAAGCCTTCAAATCCCCCTCAAGGGGATCCATCAAATCCTTGACCACCGGGATCCTTCAACTCAAAACCTCCCGCAGCTCCCCCCCCCTCGAGGGGCCCGCCTATGGTGATCCGATGGCTCCAATGGGATCAAAGGAGCCGGTGGGAAGAGCTTTGCAGCTCGGCGATGGAAAACCTGGATGCCGGGCTTACCCTGAGCGAGGTGAGCAGCCGGATGGTGCTGGCGCCGCAGTTCTGGATGAGGGTGCGAGGGATCACTTCCAGCGCCTGGGCCACGGCGCGGTACGGCCACTGCTCCACGCCCGTCATCCCTTTGGATTTCTCCGTCAGCGCCTGCGCCACGGCCATCTCCGTGGCTCCTCCGCCCGGAACCAGCTGCGGGTCCAGGAGCACGTTGCGACAGACCTGCATGGCGTCCTGCAGGTTCCGCTCCACCTCCTGCGCACCGGGGACACGGGAATGGGATGAGGGAGACGGGAATGGGAGCAGGGACATGGGAATGGGACGAGGGAGACAGGCATGGGAGCATGGATACGGGATGAGGGATACGGGCATAGGAGCAGGGACACGGGCATGGGAGCAGGGACGCGGGAGCAGGGACGCGGGAGCAGGGACGCGGGAGCAGGGACGCGGGAGCAGGGACGCGGGAGCAGGGACGCGGGAGCAGGGACGCGGGATGAGGGATCAGAACACCCCCCCTCCCAGTGTTGGGAGCAGCAGAAGAAAGGAGGCTCCTTAAGGGGAGGGCTTAGAGCAGCTCCAGTGCCTAAAGGGGCTGCAGGAAACCTGGACCAAGGGATGGAGGAAGAGGACAAGGGAGGAATGGCTTTAAGCTCCCTTCCAACCCAAATCATCCCATGGTCCCTATGGAAAGCTGTGGGCAAGCTCTGATTCCCCTGCAGAGTGCAGCCCATGAGACGGGAATTCTGTAACTCCAGAAGCCAAAGGAAAACGGGAATTTGCTTCGAGCTGCTCCAAAGGGAAGCAGCGGCTTCCCCAAGGAGAAGGAGGAGCTGGAACCTGCAGGAACTCACAGCCAGGATCTCCTTGCTGGCTCCCCGCAGGATGATGGTGCAGGCCTTGGGCTCTTTGCAGTCGGTGATGAAGGCAAAATACTCATCCCCGATCTTCTTCACCTCAAAGAGCCTGGCCCCGGTGCCCACGTCCTCCTCCCGCAGCTCATCCGTGCGGCTCACGATGCGAGCTCCACAGGCCCTGCACAGCAACCAGGGGTTGGTCACGCATCCATACGGAAGGAAAAAGGGGGGGAGAAGGAGGCAATTCCATGGCATGGGAGCATGGAGAGGGCTCCAGGGAGGAGGGAGCCTTCATTGACCTGGCGATGCGGTTGTTGTCCGTCTTCCTCACCCTGCGGATGGCTGTGATGTTGGCTCTCATCAGGTAGTGCTGGGCCAGGTCTGCAATCAGGTTTGGGGGGTTTATTCATCCCTCAGCTCTAATTAAGGCTCTTTACGTTAATTAAGTGCAATTAGCTTCTAGAAAGGGAAACCAAATGCACTTTAAGGCACCAAGTGCAGCTTTTGAGGCTCCTCCTCGCTACTCCTTTGATTCCTTCCAACTCCTGGCTAAGCCAAATCCTCTTTGAATTGCCCCAAGGCAACCTCAAGCCCCAAAATCCAGGCCTTGGAATGGGGAATTCTGTGTTAGGAAGCTACAAAGCTTCCCCAAACCAAGGGGAACCAGGTTGGTTTGGGGGTGCCAAAGGGGGAATTTAACCCAGAATGAGCCTCATTCAGATGGAGATAACCCCAGGAAGGGGGTGTTATTACCTGAAATCCCTTTCTCTGTGATGACCAGGTCTGGTTTGACCCTGATGAGGTCTGCACACATCTGCTGGATGTATTCCTCCTCCATCTGCAGGATGCGGGCGAAGTCTTCCTCGCGGGTGATCTCGATGTCAGTCTGCACACAGAAGAGCTGCAGGTTACATCCAGAGCCCCCCAAACGGAGGGATCTGAGCCCCTCCAGCACCTCCAGGGCAGGAGCCAAGGAGAAGCACCCCAAGAAACACGGAGAAGGGGCTTTGGAGGAGGTTTAAGGGCCCTTCCGAGCTAAACCATTCCAGCATTCCATGATTTCACTTCCTGGCTTTTTACCTGGCTCTCCCCTTTCTTGTATTCCAGGGAACAATCCAGAAGGACAATGCGGGGGTTCTTGATGAGACGCCTCATGCGGGGGTGAGTTACGTCTTTATTCACCATGATCCCCCGTAACACGCAGGAGTCTTCGCTAAAACCACCTGGAATCTGTCCCAGGACAAAGGGGGAATGAGGCAAACCAGGCTCCTGTATGGAAGTTGTGCTTTCCATACAACATCCATATACTTTATGCTTTCTAGGAGAGCATCCCCACTCCTCAAAGCACCCATATCCCACATGCTGAGAAAGGAAAACCCCAGGGCACAACGCAAGGTCCTTTTATGAGCATTCCCTTTGGGAATCATAGAATGGGTTGGGTTGGAAAGGACCTGAAAATCAGCCAGTTCCAACCCCCCTGCCATGGGCAGGGACCCCTCACACTAAACCACGGCACCCAAGGCCTCCTCCAACCTGGTCTTGAACACTACCAGGGATGGAGCATTCACAACCTCCCTGGGCAACCCATTCCAGTGCCTCAGCACCCTCACAGGAAAGAATTTCCTCCTTAGATCCAATCTAAACTCCCCCTGTTTAAGTTTTAACCCATTTCCCCTTGTCCTGTCACTACAGTCCCTCATGAAAAGTCCCTCCCCAGCATCCCTGTAGCCCCCCTTCAGATACTGGAAGCTGCTCTGAGGTCTCCCCACAGCTTCTCTTCTCCAGGCTCAACAGCCCCAACGTCCTCAGCCTGTCTCCATCCAGGAGGTGCTGCAGCCCCTGAGCATCCTCGTGGCCCTATTGGGAACTGTGGAATCATTGGGTTTTCATGGGAAAAGGGGCCGGGGACACGCTCACCTTCTCCACTTTGGCGTACTTCTTGATGTCGATCTCCTTCCTGCCGTTCTCCTCCAGCTCCACCGTCCTCACCGCCTCCAGGGCGATGCCGCAGGCCAGCTCGCACCACCGGTTGATGGCCTTGGTGTTTATGGCGCTCTTGATGATCTTCAGCATCATCTCCTTGTTGTTCACGTCCACGGGGGTGCTGCCCCGATGGGAACAGGGTTATTCCCCCCAAATCCCTTCTTTTCCAAGCCCCTTCCCAAGGAACTCACCCGATCTTCTTGAGGATGCTGATCATGTCATCCAGAGCCTTGCGGTACGCGCCGATGATCACCGTTGGGTGCATCTGCTGCTCCAGGAAGTGTTCAGCAACAGAGAGCATCTCTCCAGCTGCAAGGCAAAGCACATCCCTCAAACTTCCTCCGTTGGGGAATAACGGGAGGGAGAAAGGCAACACCGCCAGCAGGGGTAGAGACGTCGTTATCCCACTGTGCCCACTGCTTGGGAGGGCCACACTGGGAATACTGGGCTCAGGTTTGGGGCTGGAAAGGATCCAGAGAGGAGCCACAAAGGTGATCCAAGGGCTAGGAAGCAGGTAAGGAAAGGCTGAGAACTGGGAATGTGCAGCCTGGAGAAGGCTCAAGGGGACTTTATCCCGTTGTTCCACTCTTTAAGGGTGGCTACAAAGCAGGTGGAGACCCCCTTCTTTGCATGGAATGCCATGGAAAAAACAAGGAGTGATGGGCCCAAATTAAGCCTGGGGAGATTCCCAATGGACACACGAGGAATTTTACACAGTAGGAGCGACCAGCCATTGGAATCATCTCCCCAGGGAAGGGATGAGCTCCCCAGTGTTGGACACTTAATACTGGGCTGGTTGGAACATCAAGTCCAGGTCATGATGCCCCTGGAAAGGTTGGAGCAGATGATCCCTGAGGGCCCCTCCAACCTGGAATTCTAGGATTCACCTTTGGAAGGACAGATAATGAATATCTGTGCCATTAAAGTGTATTTATCAAGCTAAGATGGGCCAAAAGGGTGAAACCCTGGAGCAAAGGCACATCCTTCCCTCTCCTCACCCAGGATGATGACGGATGTGGTCCCATCTCCAACCTCCTCATCCTGAGTACGGCTGATCTCAATCATGGATTTAGCAGCAGGGTGCTGGACCTGAATCTGGACAGGAGCAAGAAACAGGGCGTTGATCCAGAAGATGCAAGCTGAAGCTTCCAGCATCATTCCAGCGCTAGGGAATTTCCATGGAACACTGAAGCCCAGGGCTGAAACCTGCTCTTCCGAGGGTGAAGGGTGCTTGCTGGACACATTTCATCCCTTACAAGCCCCTCTCTTGGTGCTGCTGGTTAGAACCTGCTGCTTCCAACAGAGGGGATGAACCAGCACCATTCCCCATCCTTGGCAGTGCTCAAGGCCAGGTGGAAGCATCCTGCTCTAGTGGAAGGTGTCTTTGCCCATGGAACTGGATGAGCTTTAACGTCCCTTTCCACCCCATGCCCGGATTCAGAGGTAAGCCAGAAGATTCCCACTCCCAGACACGCACCTCTCTGAGAATAGCATTGCCATCGTTGGTCATCACAATCCCACCCATGGGGTCCAGAAGCATCTGCAAGCCAAGGAGAAGCATCACTTGGTCGTGGGGGGTTCAACGCAGCCTCCAACCCAGGGTCCTGAGCAAAGCTCTTACCTTCATCATGGCTCGTGGTCCTAAACACGTCCTGATCACGTCAGCTATGGTCTAGGAGGAACAAAGGACATGAAGAGGGCTGGAGGGCATCAGAAAGGTCCAAACCACCCCATAATGGAACAAGCAGCTGGGGGACAATGGAAGGAAGCACCTCTCAGCAGTGCTTTGATGGGGTGCGAATGAAACACAGGGACTGGCATCACCTAAAGCCAATGGCAAAGCTTAAACACCTCCAGATTGGGCAAAGGGAAACCTCTCCCTGTTGTTGCACTGAGACCTCGTTTCCATGCTGCTTCTGCTCTGGATTTGGGATAGAATGCTCCAAATCCCAGTTCTTCCCTCTTAGATGGATCCATCCGCACACCCACACTGAATGAGGGCAGGAGCTGGTACCTTTGCAGCAGTGATGTTCCCAGTCTGGACTTTCCTCCCCGACTCCCGTTTCATGTTCTGGCCTATGGAGATAGGAAAGGAAAAAGCCACTGAAGTACAAAGAGGCTTGAAGCTGATCTCTTTCAGTCCAACCCTAACGCAGAAGCTGCTGCACAGGAGTTTTTAACCCAGATGCTCCCATTATTATATACGAAAGCACATAATAATATAATATACATATATGTAATACAGACATTATTATACAGATATTACACAGACATATAAAGGCATATACTGTATTAGAATACACATATATAATACAGATATATTATGTATATATAGAAGCATACAATATTACAATATACATATATATAATACAGATATATATTGAAGGGCATATAAGACGTTATGGTATACACATACATAATACAAATACAAATACATACATGGAAAAAAAATAACATAATATTCATATATATATATGTATGAAATACGTGTATAAATAATATTATAAAGAAAACCCCTGGTTTAAACTCGGTTTTAGCCCTGTGTGTTCTGCCCTAAGGATGCTCCAAGCTCTTCCTCCATCCCCAGCCTGGCTGGGCACAGACTGAAGCCAGGAAGGGATGGAACAAAAGCAGCACAAAGGGGAGCAGGGGCGGCAGCAAAGGGACCCCGGCTGCTCACAGCGCACACGGAGGGGTAAAACGGGGTAACAAAAAGCAACGAGCTGAAGGGGGAACAACGGTGTTAGGTAGGCAAAACCCCTTCGCCACGCCACTGGGATGGCTTGAACGGAGCAGCTTTGGGTGCCCCATCCCTGGCAGCGCTCAAGGCCACGTTGGGGCCGTGCTACGGCTTTAAACGAGCTTTAAGCTCCCTTTAACCCCCCCCGTTCTGTGAACGCACGAACACAGCCGAGCCCCCCCATGCATCCCTGCGGATGGGACCCGAGGCTCCTCAGCGGGTCCCTGAGGTGAAGGCCTCGGGGCGGGCGGTGCCTGAGGGCCCCACGCGGCCGCCCCGGCCCCAACATGGCGGCGGCAAGGGGAGAATGGAAGGGAACGGAACCGGCCCCCAACCCCCGGGGCTCGGGGCCCGGCAGCGACACTCACTGAGCACCAGCACAGGCCTCGGGCCCATCATGGCGGCGACCCCCGGCTCCGAGCACCGAACCTTCTGGAGCCACCGGCCGCTTCTTCACCGCCTCACCGCCTTAACCCCGCCCACCCGCCCCGCCCGGACCAATCCCGACGCGCCCCCGGCGGCGCGCTGACCAATGAGAAGGCGGAGCTCAGCAGCAGGAAGTTGGGTTGCGAAGAGGGGGGGCTGCGCATGCGCACTTTGACAAGCACACCGGCTGGGGTGCGGTTGGGACTACATTTCCCAGCGTGCCCCGCGGCAGCTTCCGGCCGCCATGTTGGCACTGGGGGGTTACCTCAGCGCTGACGCGGCCGGAGGAGCGAGGCCGGGCCGGGACGGTGAGGAGCGGAGGGCACCGGAGGGCTCCGGTGTGGGCATTTAATGGTTAAATCCCCGCTTCCCTTCCTGTTTGTGCTCCCAGATGAAGCTCCTGGCGCTCGCCCTCTTCGCCCTGTGCTCCGTGGCCCGCTGTGAGGACGGCGCCCGGCTCTTGGCCTCCAAGGCCCTCCTGAACCGCTACGCGGTGGAGGGCAAGGACCTGACCCTGCAGTACAACATCTACAACGTGGGCTCCAGGTGGGGAGCAAACCTCGCCTTTATGGGGGCTCCAGGTGGGGAGCAAACCTCGCCTTTATGGGGGCTCCAGGCGGGGAGCAAACCTCGCCTTTATGGGGGCTCCAGGCGGGGAGCAAACCTCGCCTTTATGGGGGCTCCAGGTGGGGAGCAAACCTCGCCTTTATGTGGGCTCCAGACGGGGAGCAAACCTCGCCTTTATGGGGGCTCCAGGTGGGGAGCAAACCTCGCCTTTATGGGGGCTCCAGGTGGGGAGCAAACCTCGCCTTTATGGGGGCTCCAGGTGGGGAGCAAACCTCGCCTTTATGGGGGCTCCAGGTGGGGAGCAAACCTCGCCTTTATGGGGGCTCCAGGTGGGGAGCAAACCTCGCCTTTATGGGGGCTGTGGGGAGCAAACCTCACCTTTATGTGTGTGGTGGGGGTGGACGGGAGCCGCTGCCCGAGCTCCATGAGGGGCTGTTCCCTTTGCTCCCGCTGGCTCTGAGCTTCCCAAGTGGAAGCTGGGATTGCTCCCCATGGCACAGCCTCCCTCGTTGGGCTCTGGGAGCTCTTTCCCACCTCATTGCCTTGCCTTTTTGCCCTTTGCCAACTTGCTCTTTCAGCCATCTCCCTGTATCGCATTGATTTCCCTCCCCATCTCCCTCCTTCGGTTCCCAAACCACCTCACCCCGCTGCTACGGGATCCCTATGGACATCTGCGTGGCACATGCCAAGGCTGAGCTCCCCTTCTCATCCCTCTCTTTGTCGCCTTCAGTGCAGCGTTAGATGTGGAGCTCTCGGATGATTCCTTCCCCCCGGAAGATTTTGGCATCGTCTCTGGAATGCTCAACGTCAAGTGGGACAGGATCGCTCCGTATCCGTGGAATCGCTCCCAGTGCTCCTCCTCGCCCCTGGAGCCTCACCCAGGGCAGCACAAGGAGGATGTGGAGCAGCTCCAGTGCCGAAAGGGGCTGCAGGAAACCTGGAAAAGGGCTTGGGATGCAGGGACAGGACAAGGGGAATGGCTTTAACCTGATAGAAGGGAGGGTGGAGATGGGATCCTAGGCAGAAGCTCTTCCCTGTGGGGATGCCGAGGAGCTGGAATGGGTTGAAGGGGGTTGGAACTGGATGAGCGTTGAGCCCCCTCCCAACCCAGCCCATTCCAGGATTCCATGGATGACTTTTCCACCTGGTTTGCGGCTCCTCTTTCCCCATCTCCTCCCTTTCCCTCGGCTGAATCCAAGTCCTCTCCTTAACTCCCAGCGCTCAGAGCCAGCAATGTGTCCCACACTGTGGTGCTGCGGCCTCTCAAAGCCGGCTACTTCAACTTCACCTCGGCCACCATCACCTACCTGGCACAGGAGGGGGGCCAGGTTGTGGTGAGTGCCATTGGGCACCAGATCCTCCCACCCCAAGGCTGGCCATGATCCATAGCCCTGCTCCAGAAGGATCCCACCGCTTTTCCCCCTCTTTCCCAGGTTGGTTTCACCAGTGCTCCGGGGCAGGGAGGGATCCTGGCGCAACGGGAGTTCGACAGGAGGTTCTCCCCACACTTTGTGAGTACTTGGGGGGATGTTGTGGATGGATTGCACCAAAACAAGCGCTTTGCATCCCGGTTATCCCTGCGAAGGAGCTGGCAGGGTGGGATTTGAGCCAGGAGCTTCCCCATAGGGAAGGTCTGATGGTTTTAAGCCTCATCTGCATGGGTTTGGGTTGACTCTTCCAACATCTTGCAGCTGGATTGGGCAGCTTTTGGTGTGATGACCCTGCCCTCCATTGGCATCCCACTGCTGCTGTGGTATTCCAGCAAGAGGAAGTACGACACCCCCAAAACCAAGAAGAACTGAGCCAAGCCGATGCCACCAGCGCCCATTGGGATCCGGGCTGGAGCAGCTCCACCTTCCACAGGGTGAGGTGGTGTCTTCCCCATCCCAAATCCGATGTGGAATCTCAAGGTCCCACCTTCAACAATGAAACCTCGGTGGGAAGCAGAGCTGGAGCTGTTGATGCTCCTCAAGGTGGGATGCAAAGAGGTCTCCATGTATCCCGGTTGTGCTTCCGTGAGCGATGGATTGGGGGGCTCTGTTCTTCCCGGTGGCTTGGATGGGTTGGGGTGGGGTTTGGTACCAAGGATTTTGTAATAAAATGAATATGAATGGAATCTCTTTGCTTTTACCAGGATATCCTGGAGGCATCTGCCTGCCTGTTGGTGGGGATGGGGGTCAGGAATATCAGTCATGGAATCCTGGAATGCTTTGGGGTGAAGGGACCTTACAGCTCATCCCATTCCGGAGGCAGGGACACCGAGCCCTTGCTCCAAGCCCCTGTGTCCGACCTGGCCTTGAGCACTGCCAGGGATGGGGCAGCTCCTCTGGGATCATTCCAGAGCTGGATCCAGGGTTCACCCTCAGCTTTTTGGGGGGCACCATCACATCTTTTGGGGGGGGTCCCATCCCGCTGAGATTCCAGATGGAAACTTGGACGTGAGGATGGAAGATTCCAATTCATCTCAGCCCTGCCCCTTTGCAGGCAGCACGGGAGGGCCAGCACCCCACCACTGCCAGGTGGGGAGCTTGGGCTAGGGAGCGAATTTGGGGTCCAGGAGGCATTTGAAGGGCGAGGGGGGGGGGCTGAATTTGGGGTCCAGGAGGCATTTGAAGGGCGAGGGGGGGGTGAATTTGGGGTCCAGGAGGCATTTGAAGGGCGAGGGGGGGGTGTGAATTTGGGGTCCAGGAGGCATTTGAAGGGCGAGGGGGGGGTGTGAATTTGGGGTCCAGGAGGCATTTGAAGGGCGAGGGGGGGGGTGTGAATTTGGGGTCCAGGAGGCATTTGAAGGGCGAGGGGGGGGGGTGTGAATTTGGGGTCCAGGAGGCATTTGAAGGGCGAGGGGGGGGGGTGAATTTGGGGTCCAGGAGGAATGTGGGGTACAAGGAACAACTTGGGTTGGGGGGGGGATTTGGGGGTCAGGATGGCATCGATTTGGAGGTACCGGGGGGGAGAGGGGGGGGTTGTTCTAGACCGGTTTTGGGGATACAAATGGGAGACCCCCCCCCATCACTGGTCCTACCCCCCCCACGCTCCCCCTCCCCTCCTGCGTGGCCTCCCACCGCCAGGGGGCAGTGTACACCGCAGCAGCGGCCCGCGGGGCGCTCTGTCCCGGCGCGCCGCCATGGCCGCCGCCGTCTTCTTCGGCTGCGCCGCCATCGCCTTCGGGCCCGCGCTCGCCCTCGTCCTGCTGACGGTGGCGGCGGAGCCGCTGCGGGTCCTGGTGCTGGTGGCGGGGTGAGGGCGGAACGGGAACGGGAACCGGGGGGGGGGGGGGGGGGAACGGGAATGGGAACGGGAACTGAGGGAATGGGAATGGGAATGGGAACTGAGGGAAGGGGAATGGGAATGGGAACTGAGGGAATGGGAACGGGAATGGGAACTGAGGGAATGGGAATGGGAATGGGAATGGGAACTGAGGGGTTTGGGAATGGGAACTGAGGGAACGGGAATGGGAATGGGAACTGAGGGAATGGGAATGGGCCCTGAGGGAAGGGGAATGGGAATGGGAACTGAGGGAAGGGGAATGGGCCCTGAGGGAAGGGGAATGGGAATGGGAACTGAGTGGGTTGGGAATGGGAAGGGGAATGGGCACTGAGGGAATGGGCACTGAGGGGGTTGGGAATGGGAATGGGAAGGGGAATGGGCACTGAGGGAATGGGCACTGAGGGGGTTGGGAATGGGAATGGGAAGGGGAATGGGCACTGAGGGAATGGGAATGGGCACTGAGGGAATGGGAACTGAGGGGTTTGGGAATGGGAATGGGAACTGAGGGAAGGGGAATGGGAACTGAGGGGGTTGGGAATGGGGACTGAGGGAAGGGGAAGGGGAACTGAGGGGGATTGGGAATGGGAACTGAAGGAAGGGGAAGGGGAATGGGAACTGAGGGGTTTGGGAATGGGAATGGGCACTGAGGGAATGGGAATGGGCACTGAGGGGGTTGGGAATGGGAATGGGAACTGAGGGAAGGGGAATGGGAACTGAGGGGTTTGGGAAGGGGAGTGGGCACTGAGGGAATGGGAATGAGAATGGGGACTGAGGGGGATTGGGAAGGGGAATGGGAACTGAGGGAAGGGGAATGGGAACTGAGGGAAGGGGAATGGGAACTGAGGGAAGGGGAAGGGGAATGGGACTGGGGGGGTTGGGAATGGGAATGGGCATTGAGGGAAGGGGAATGGGAATGGGGACTGAGGGGGTTGGGAAGGGGAACTGAGGGGGGTGGGAATGGGACCTGAGGGGGTTGGGAAGGGGAATGGGAACTGAGGGGGTTGGGAATGGGTCCTGAGGGCATTGGGGAAGGAGAATGGGTCCTGAGGGGGTTTAGGACTGGGAATGGGCCCTGAGGAGGGTTAGGAAGGGGAATGGGTCCTGAGGGGGTTGGGAATGGGAATGGGCACTGAGGGAAGGGGAATGGGAACTGAGGGGGATTGGGAATGGGAATGGGCACTGAGGGAATGGGAAGGGGAATGGGCACTGAGGGAAGGGGAATGGGTCCTGAGGGGGTTTGGATCTAAACCCTCGCTCCCCAGCCCCGCGTCCCCCCCTCCCCTCCTGTGCCTGTGTTCAATGGGGGGTCGGGGGCTGTTCCTGCGCTTTCTGTCTCCTCCAGGGCGTTCTTCTGGCTCGTGTCCCTGCTCCTGGCCTCCCTGCTCTGGTTCGTCCTGGTCCGGCTGAGCGAGGGGGCCGAGCCCCGGCCGCAGCGAGGGCTCCTCCTCGTGGGCGCCGCCGGCTCCGTGCTCCTGCAGGAGCTCTTCCGCTTCGCCTACTTCAAAGTGCTCAAGTGAGAGCCCCACAGAGGACCCTGGGTGCTCCCCGTGACCCACACGGACCCCCCCCCATGTGGGGCTGCACCCCCAGAGCTCCCTCTTAGCGCCTAAACGAGGGGCTTTGGACAAGGGATGGAGCCTTAAGGTCCCTTTCAACCCATCCCATGAGCTGGCTCCGACCCCCTTCCCCTTCTCCCCTCATTCCTCCTGCCTCATCCCTGCAGGAAAGCCGATGAAGGGCTGGGGACCATCAGCGAGGACGGGCGATCCCCCCTCTCCCTGCGGCACATGGCTTACGGTGAGCACCGGGCTGGTCCCGCTCACCCCACCGGGGATTCCCAAGAGCAGGAATCGCCCATCCCGGCCGCTCCAGCGCCGTTCCCAACTCTTCCCCTTTCCCCTGTGCTGATTTCTGGCTTGCTTTGAGCCGGGTTCTTCTCCTTCCACAGTCTCCGGCCTCTCCTTCGGCATCATCAGCGGCATCTTCTCCGTCATCAACATCCTGGCCGACGCCATGGGGCCGGGAATCGTTGGCATCCATGGGGATTCCCCCTATTACTTCATCACCTCAGGTAGGGTTGGAGCCAGGCCCTTCCCCAGCGGGAGGAAGAGGAAGGAAGGGGGGGTGTGAATGCTCTTTCCCCCCCCTTGCAGCCTTCATCACCATGGCCCTGGTTCTGCTCCACACCTTCTGGGGCATCGTCTTCTTCGACGCCTGCGAGCGCCGGCGCTATTGGGGCCTGGGGCTGGTGGTCACCAGTCACCTCCTCACCTCGGGGCTGGTGAGTGCCTGCCCCCCCCCCCCTCCCCGGGGACACCCCAAGTGCTGCTTGAGCCTCTGGATCCATGGGGGGGGGTCTCAATGGGCAATTCCAGCTGGGAAACCCTTGGGCAGGACTTGGAAGGCTTCAAGGGGTTGGATTTGCTCTGCCCCCCCCCCCTCTCCCCATGTCATTCCCAACGCATCCCTCTCCATCCCAAGACATTCCTGAACCCCTGGTACGAAGCCAGCCTGGTCCCTATCTTCATCATCACCCTGGGCACGGGCCTCTGGGCCTTCGTCACTGCCGGGGGCTCCTTCCACAACGTCCTCAAGTGCCTCTCCTGTGAGTTTTGGGGGGTGGGATGGGGATGTGGGGGCTAATGGGGGGCTCCTGATGGTCCTGAGCCCCCCTGCACCCCCTTTGCATCCTTGTCCCCCCCCTCCTCCCCAGGTAAGCAGGAGGACGACAGCACCGTGATGATGTACTCAGCGCTGCAGGTGCCTTGTGAGGACTGAGAGCCCCATTCCCGGCCTCTGGAATCTCCTGCTGCTGCCTCGGCCACGGCCGCTCGGTCCCTCCGGTGCTGTTCCCTCGCTGGGCCCACACAGGGGCTCCCAATCCCAGCCCTTTCCCAAGGGGAATCTTCCCTTGGGCCTCACAGGGTGCAGCAGCAGCGAGGGGCTGGGGGCAGGACCCCCCCCTTCCCCTTCCATCACATCCCCCCCCCACCTTGGCCTCTTGGCAATGGGGTGATGCTTGGGGGGGCACAGAGCTGGGTTTGGGGGTGCCGTGCCCCCCCCCCCCCATTGGTGGCTGAGCAGTTTTTGGGGGGTGGGGGTAAATTATTTTTGTGGATTCAGAGTAAAACCCTTTTACAAGAGCAATGGTGCCATGGGGGGGGGGCAGGATTGGGCCCCCCCCATCTTCTCCTTCCACTTCAAGGCAGGGGGGGACACCCGGGTGTCCAAGTACTGATCCCAGCCCCATTCCCCCCCCATCAAAGAGCCACTGTGGGGGGAAGGGGCTTTATTTCTGTCACACCATGGGGTGGGGGTCACTGGGAGCCCCCCCCCGGGGGGTTCAGGGGTGGCTGTGGTTGGAGGGGGCCCGACGGGAGGAGGCTTTGAACACGATGTCCTGCTCCTGGCTCCTCCTCACGCTGCTTTTGGGGGGGGGGGGGGGGGTAAAAAGGGGTTGAGGTGACCCTGAGTCAGCCCTTGGGGGGTGAGGGGGGGGTCCAGGGGTTGGGGGGGGACCGGAGCCTCTCACCGCATCCTCTTGGCCACCAAGTGGATGCTGAGGAAGAGGCCGATGCAGGCACCCAGGGCGCCGATGATGATGGCGATGCCTTCACCTTAGGG